GATTTTGCCCATCTTCGAACTTAACCTTCTTATGGAGCCAAGAAATACGAGTACCAAGTTTCATCATGATATCTCAATTTTTATTCAAGTTACAGCTTGCACGGACGGACAGACGGACGGACGGACAGACAGACATCCGGATTTCAACTCTACTCGTCACCCTGATCACTTTGGTATATATAACCCTATACCTAACTCTTTTAGTTTAAGGACTTACAAACAATCGTTATGTGAACAAAACTATTATACTCTCTTTAGCAACTTTGTTGCGAGAGTATAAAAATTACAAAATTATAAGAGGTGGGACGAAAATGCTTGCATCCACCATCAAGACTTCATATACTTAGAGCCTAAGAAAATGTATATGAAAGTATTTCGATAAGTCTGAGGCATTGAAAAAAGGTTGAACTTGCTACGAAAATAGTTGAGCTATGGTAACTTCTTCTTGTTTACTGCCCTTCTTCTCCAGATACCAAGTGCAGCTCTCTGGGATGGAGGTCTCCTTTCACCGGCGGGTATTGAATCGAAAACGTTCAAGGCTGGGATTGTTTTCATCCATTCCGACAACATGACCTAGACAACGCAACGGCAGTCTCTTGATTCGCTAAGCTATGACAGTGTTGCACTATATCTGGTGCAGCTCAACGTTCCATTGATTGTTCGCAAAAGACCAAACGTTTTACAAATTTCTTTTCTCGAACACTCCTAAGGCCAACACAACAGATGATGTCATTGTCCATGCTTCCGCATCATAAAGCAGGATTGGAATGATGAGATACCTTTAGAGTTTGGCCTTTGATCATCACGAGAGGACTTTACTGTTCAATTGCCAACCCAGTCCAAAAGGGACTACCTGTTGGCAAGAGTCATATACAGATGATATTACAAATAAGTATACGCAGAGAATTAGAAGATAGCAAAATCATGTAACAACGTTAGGTTAGATCGAAAAGAGTAAGAATATACAAATTGTAAAAATATTTAAAAAAATGATTTGACATAAAAATTATGTTCAATGATTACACTTAAAGGAGTACTAAAAATAAATTCATTCTTTTTGTATTAATGATGAATCATTAAAGATGATTTAAAATTCAATTAAAATATTATACGTTTTGTTCGAAAAAAAAAGATTTTTTATAAGATAGGTGTATAAGAATCTCCCAACCAAGTTCCTGGTATTTCAATCAAGCCACTTTTGATGTATGCAGCCTGTTATTGTTCAGATAGAATACACTTTCATTCCTATTTACCAAAGCAGGTCGCTTCTGAACGTTTGCTTCCTTTAGACGTCAAATTATTGACAGTACAGCTTCGAAATAAGTATTTGGTCGTAAAAGATCAACTCATAATTGATGATTCCCTTCCAATCCTACGTACACGTAGCAAAGCACGGCAGTTTTCAATTGACTTTTACCACCAGATAACATGCTCTTCAGAAAATCATCGATTTTGTTGCGATTCCCTTCAAAGTAATCCATACCAGATGTTATACACTTATGCCAACATTTTTACCAACCCTCGAAACACTTTTCTTAATCGCTTTAAGCTTCAGCTTCTTCAACGAATTTTTTTTCATCTCTTCGATCGTCTGAAAACGGGTTCCACGGAGCGGAAATTTTAGTTTGGGAAACAAGAAAAATTTGCGCGGACCCAAATATAATACGGTAGTTGATCATTGGGGTTTTGGCTTTAACTATGGTCACAATCGTTGCCTGATGCGATGGTGCATTATAACCGTGTAAAAAAAAAAAAAAAAAAAAAAAAAAAAAAAAAAAAAAAAAAAAAAAAAAAAAAAAAAAAAAAAAATTAGCATCACTTCGCTTTTTGGGAGTCCTTTAGCGTGTTTTTTTTTTGGTTTCGCGCTCATATTGGGCATAATCTTATCAACTTAGCAAAATGCATTTCTTTGAAATATCATTTTCTCGGGAAATTTAATTACAATTTCCGGGTACTATATGTATGCATGTATGTAGTTCGTTATGAAACTTTTTTGCAACTCAAAGAAGTTCAGTTTGTCATTTATTGAGTAAATGAACTAAACATGTTTATTGTTAATACGTTGCAAAGTTTTCTCTGTTTCGTGCTAGCAAAAGTCATAATCAACTGGATGACTTGCAATGGTTTCCAATAAATTAGATTCGCTTTTAATCACCTAATTTCGTTATTCTTTCATTAACTCTTTGTTAACCGTCTTTCAAAAAGCTTTCTTCTTCCACTAACTGATTTCGTACGCTATCATGTATATACGTGTGTATGTACATGTGAACATACATACTATATGTATAAACTTATATTTTAACTAAAAAAATACCAATAAAAGGGACGACAAAAAGTTTATCGCAAACTTTAACAATATCCTAACTTAATATCCCTCCATTTCAGGCCATAAAGTGTATGAATTGTGATTCATAACTAACAGCTGTTGGTGCGTGTACACATCAAATCACTGCAATCTGTTATCAACCGATTGAAGAAAGTCTAATTTTGAGCTTAATGGCGATTCTTAACGCTTATGAATTTGTTCGTTGAGTTTCTTATAAAAGTAGCGTTTTCGCCAAAATGAGTTTACGATTTGATGACACCGATTTATGCGAATTGCCGCAGATGCATAAGACTACACATACTTTTGT